CCCACGTATAGTACCTTTATTTATTACAAATAAATATAATCTTCCAAGTCTATGTATTATATGTATTACCAGTTCTTTTATAAATAGACCATTGGATAGTGAGAAAGATGTCCCAGTTAATTGTCTGAGATAACACGTGCTTAATGTGTTCAAGATATTACCAAGAATTGGTTTTATGGTCATAACACTGGTTACCAAAAAAGAGGAACAGAAAAAAAACTTAGCAAGAAATATTATATTTAAATCCTTTTACTTTTCCTCTAGAAAAGGTGCAACAAGAATCTCCAAAGTTGTTGGGTTAGCTCAACCTACATACAGCCATCGGCGACAGATGCCTTATACGAATGCTGTCATACATGAGATCCAGAGGTTTTCCGACATTGTGCCCCTCAGTGTGCCTCATGAGACAACTAAAGATGTCGCTTTTAGGGGATACTTTATCCGAAAGGTACCTACTGTATTTTAGATCCTGTAAAAATCTTATAGGCCACTAATACACTATAGCATTAAAAGGAAAATGTATTTACTATTTGAATTAAGATCTAAAAAGCTCTGTCATTACAGAACAGCTTTTATTCAGACCAGGTTCTTTATTTACATTAAAAAAATAACAGTAAGTACCTCCCATAGTATATTTTTTACTTAAGAGTTATTTTCTATTTATTATAGGAAACCTATATAATCCCTCTATTATCCTCTGTATTGCGTGACAAGACACAATTTGAAAAGCCTGATGGATTCTATCCAAATCATTTTCTAGATTCCCATGGAAATTTTATAAATAAAGATGCCTTTATGCCATTCTCTGCAAGTTTGTATTCTTCTTTGTTACATTATCATAATTTGTGTTATCAAGGATATAGCTGTATTCAATAGCAAACAATCAGATCTTTGTGCACAGTGCCTAATTTAAGCCAAGATGCAAATATAGAGAGAATATGTCACTTTGACCAATATACAGTAAGTATGACAGTGACCTAGTTTTCCTAGGTCAAAACTATTCACTCACATAGATCATAGGAAAGAACCTTCATTTCTGCAAAACCACTGGCCCACAGATATCACTATGATCATACAAAGGCGGCTCTCTAATTAGGAAAATTAGGAAGTCTCCTAAGGCCTTGCACTCACAGGGGCCTCATGGCTGCCTAATTTGCCTTACGCAGCTGGCTTGAAAGTGATGGAGCCAGCAGCGTGGTGCCTCTCCCCTCCTGCTAGCAGCCCGCCTCCTCCCATGGTTCCCAGGATCTCTGCTCTTACCAGGAACACTACTGCCAGCTAGGGAAGGAGAGTGATGTGAGACCAAGGCAAATCCATGCCTCGATTGCACAAAAGCAGAAAAACCAGTTGGCCAAGCCATCCATTTCTGGGCTCCGGAAGGTAACATCTCTACGTGACCGCATTAAAACTCTTGACTCTAGTAAGTCTGCGCAATCCCTCTTATGGGTTAAGCAAAAATTTTACGAATTTTCCAACAAACCTCATCGTATGTTAGTCAATCGACTCAAAGCTCAGTCTCCTTCCACGATGCTTGATCTTTTAATCCAACCGAATGGAAGCCCTACCTATGATCCTCAGGTCATGGCATCCCTTTTTGGCTCATACTATAAGAATCTTTATAACTGTTTGACCCCAGACCTTCACCCGCCCCTCACACAGTTATCTTTTGATAATTTTTTTGACCCCCTGTCACTTCCGAGTCTTTCACCCTCAGACATTGCCACCCTTAACGCTGATATTACGCCAGAGGAATTGTTTGACACAATTAAACATCTTTCCTCTCGTAAAGCCCCAGGACCGGACGGATTGCCCTACTACTCCTACTATAAATCTTTTATTGGTATCCTGGCTCCTCATCTCCTCTCCTTTTATCGAGATCTTTTCAAGGGGGTCACACCCCAGACTGAATTCTCCCGAGCATATATCTCGGTTATCCCCAAACCCGATAAAGATCACTCTATAGTAGACAACTAGCGCCCCAATTGCCCTACTTAACTCCGATTACAAGATTTTCACTAAAATCTTGGCCAACCGACTGTCTGGAATTATTTCCAAACTCATACATAGGGACCAAGTGGGGCTTTGTACCTGCCAGACACGCTGCAGCTAACAACAGGCGATCCATTGATCTGGTTTGACTTGATTTAACCGATCCTCCACTCCCGCTATATTATTAAGTTTAGATGCTCAAAAAGCTTTTGACCGTTTAAGTTGGCCTTACATGTTCATGGTCTTAGAAAGATATGGTTTCAGGGGTCCATTTGTAGCAGCCTTGAAGGCCCTTTATTCTTCCCCTTTTCGCAGGTCAGATTAGCCTCTTTTTTTTCACTCCCCTTTCAGATGTCAAATGGTACACGTCAGGGTTGCCCACTCTCTCCTTTACTGTTCATTCTTTGTCTGGAACCATTAGCCATCGCCATAAGGTCGAATCCGGATATTCGCGGGATACGATCCCATAACCATGAATACAAATTATCGCTGTTTTGCTGATGACATCCTCATCACGCTTTGCGAGTCCCCATACCTCCCTACCGATTTTGCATAAGACCTTTGAAACAATTTGGGGCCATATCTGGCTACAAAGTTAACACGTCTAAAACTGAGGCACTCCCGATACATTTCCCTTCTGGCATTTTATCCTCGCTTCAGGAAGCCTTTCCCTACCGGTGGTGCACCCATTCTTTAAAATATTTAGGTACTAATCTGACTTCCTCTTACCAATCCATATACGAGGCCAATTTCCGCCCATTATTTATAGCAATTTCTCGTTCTCTGAAACACTGGGATTCCCTGCCCATTTCTTTTCTCGAACGCATTAATGTACTAAAAATGACCGTGTTACCCAAACTGTTATACCTGTTTGCGACTCTCCCCGTTCCCATTCCTATGTCCAAACTTCACTCCCTCCAGAAATCTTTCCTGCATTTTATTTGGCACAACAAGCGGCACAGGATTGCACGTTCTGTTTTGCTTTCTCCGCGTTCTAGGGGGGGCTTGGGGGCACCGGATATAATAACATACTACTATGCAACTCATCTTCGTTTTCTCATGTCATGGTCTACTCACTATCCTCCCAACACGTGGGCTGAGATTGAATCTTTTACAATTGTCTCCGGCTCATCCATGCTCCCTCCTTTGGTCGACCTCAGCAGTGGATGTCTCTTCTTTTCGCCACCTATTCCTTGGTCCCATGCACTTTTCTCTGACTGTTTGGCAGAAATGTAAGGCTAAATTTACACTGGCCTCTGATTGCTCCCCACTGACAAATATCCCCCCATAACCCTAATCTTCCAGATAATATGGCCATGTCCCGGATGTCTCTTTGGGTAGTAGCTAACCTTTTTCAATTGCGTCACTTGGTACACCCGGTGACTCGTAAGTTACACTCATTCCCAGATCTCCAGAAAAAAGCTCTTCTACCTTCTCAACACCTATATATTTACCTTCAAATACGCCACTTCTTTTCTACCTTATCACCCTCATTAACCCTGGGGAAGCCTACTTCCTTTGAACGTTTATGTATGCAGGGTCCCCACCAAAGGGGTATTATTTCTAACACATATAAACTACTTCTAGATGCCCCCTCCTTATCCAATGACACTCACCTTTACATGCGTAGGTGGTCTCAATTCGTACAATGTGATATTGATCTATTAACGTGGAAGAAAAATTTGGGAAAATGCATCTAGATCTTCTGTTTGTGTGTTTTTTAAGGAAAATATATACAAGCTCATGATGTTATGGTACAAAACACCTGAAGTTCTTCATGCTTATAATCCGAATGCTTCTCCTGCTGCTGGCGCTGTGGTGGAGACCAGGGTTCTCTCTATCATATCTTTTGGACATGCAGCTCCATTACTCCTTTCTGGAAAGATGTTCTCTCCCTGTTACAATCACTAATGCGTACCTCTCTCCCACTTGATCCACTACATTTTTTGCTAGGTCTACCATTTTCGGGTTTACCTAAACCATCCGGAAAACTTGCTGTACATGTTCTGACCGCGGCTAGGAGAAGCATTCCTATGTGTTGGTTGTCTTCTACCCCCTCCTTCAATGTCGATTCTGTACAAACTTATTGCTGATGTTAGACAGATAGAATACTTGACTGCACTACATAATTGTTCGTTTGCTGTGTTTAAGATGATTTGGCTCCCATGGGATACCTTCATTTCCTCTATGCCGGCCCAAAATGTAAGGTCCTGATAACCTTCACACTGTTATTTTATGTTTTTGTTGGTCCTGTCCTTACGCAGTTTTGCCATCGATGTAACTTTCTGTTTTGCTTGTTTTCTTTTTCTTATCCCTTTTTTTTTTTTCTTAAACATACTGTTTGTATATTTTTGAAAATCAATAAAAATTGTTATTACAAAAAAAAAGCAGAAAAACCAGAGGTGATATCACTTCCGGTTTCAGATGCACCCTTTCCTGGCCAGGGGAAACATCTAACCAAGCTGATCTGTGCTCAGTTGAATGGTGTGAAGGTCAGGGGAAACATTGGTGTCTATCAGACACTTAATGTCATAAAAAGTACCTGTCACCTGCCCAGTGCTATCACATAGGAGTGTATTAACCCCTTGCGGTAGCAATAAAGTAAAAAAAAATAGAAGAAAAAAAAGTTTTAAAAATTAAAATGATGGGCATGGTCTACGGTGCATGCCGGTCTAGGGGCTCCTCCGGGAGCTATTTCTCCACATGTTCCATTATGGTGTAATCCTAGGTTACAAAAAAGGGAAGCAGTAGACGAGGGCAAAAAGATCGGTATCTAAATCCATAGCAGAGTAAAGAATACATCCAAATAGATGCAAAGCAATCACTTTATTATGATCACAATGATCCTCTTGAAGAATAGGCTTGGGACTTGGTGGACACACAGTAAATCAGACAATAAAAACAGTGTGATTAACCGCCTCCCACCAGCCATATAGTAATATGACGGGCGCAAGGTGGTTCTCTCGTTCTAGGAGGACGTCATATGACGTCCTCCCATTCTAACCCGCGCATGCGCAGCTCCTGGAGTGCGCAGCGATTGGCAGTGCGCTGTGTCCCTCGGACACAGCGGATCACCGATCCACAGAAAGAGCCGAAGATGTCGGCTCGGTCATGTGATCAGCTGTGTCCAATAAGAGCTGATCACATGTAAACAGGGAAATGCCGGTTATCGGCACTTCTTTCTCCATGAGCTGTCACGCTGTCAGCTCGAGAGGAGAAGAGAGCCGGAAATTGGCATTCCTAGGAGGGGACATGTACACTGATCATCAGAGCACTGATGATCAGTGTGCCCTGATGATCTGTGTAGCCCCAGCAGTGCCGCCTGTCAGTGTCCATCAGGGCCAGCTCTCAGTGCTCATCAATGTCACCTGCCAGTGCCCATCTGTGCCACATTTCCATGCCCATCAGTGCCACATCAATGCCACATATCAGTGCCCATCTGAGCTGCCTTTCAGTGTCACCCATCAGTGCCAGTCAGTGCCACCTATCAATGCCAGTCAGTACCACTTATCAGTGCTGCCAATCAGTGCCACCTAACAGTGCCAGTCAGTGTCACCTATCAGTGCCAGTCAGTACCGCCTATCAGTGCCAGTCAGTACCGCCTATCAGTGCCACCTATCAGTGCTGCCTATCAGTTCCCCTCAGTGATGCCTGTCAATGCCCATCAGTGCCACCTACCAGTGTCCATCAGTGCAGCCTATCAGTGTCCATCACTGCAGCCTCATTAGCACACATCAGTGAAGGAGAAAAATCACTTATTTACATAATTTTATAACAAAAACTAAGAAAAAATGTTGTTTTTTTTACATTTTCAGTGGTTTTTGATTTGTTTAAGAAAAAAGAAAAAACCCAGAGGTGATTAAATACCACCAAAAGAAAGCTCTATCTGTCACAAAAAATTATAACAATTTCATATGGGTACAGTGTTGCATGACCGCGCAATTGTCATTCAAAGTGCAACAGCGCTGAAAGCTGGAAATTGGCCTGGGCAGGAAGGGGGTATAAGTGTCCTGTAGGCAAGTGGCTAAAAACAAAAACAAAAGTCTAACGCATTCACTTAGCTGAAGAGTATAAAGACGGGGGGCTAGGAAACTGATGAGAATAATCTTCTGGGAGAAGTATCTTCAATATATGATACAGGCGACAGAGCTGCAGAGATTCATTTCTTGTATGATCAAGATATTTAATCTTCATAATGGCATAACTTGCTGTTTTCCATGGATAACATAACTGAGGGAGGATGAATGGTTTCACCTTCCTACTATGATTATCAATTCTGGGTGTGGAGGTAGCATATGCAAATGATAGGACTGATCTGTGTCTGATTGCATGCATTGGAGGCCAGTAGAGAGATTTGGGTCCTAATAGACCCAAGACCTTTCCATAAAGAGGGCCTGTCATGGCCCATGCTATCACAAGGGATGTTGTTCATCCCTTGTAATAAAAATAAAGTTGATCGAAAAAAAAATTTAACTAAAGAAATAATTAAATAGCAAAAAAAAAATGTAAAGCACCCCCGTTCCCCCGTGCTCACAGGCACATAGGTCCCTCACGCATATGTAAATGGAGATCACACCACACATGTGAGGTATTGCTATGAACATCAGAGTGAGAGCAAAAATTCTAGCACCAGACCTCCTGTGTAACTCTAAACTGGAAACTTGTAAAGGCATTTAAAATGTTGCCTATGGAGATTTTTAGGTACCATAATTTGGTGTTGAACGATATATCGTAGCTGGTGTGGGACAAATTCAGATGGTGGTGGTGAGGTGCCAGATTTTAGTCTTGCCTAGGGCAGCACAAAACCAAAATACATCACTGTGTGCAATTGTATGTAAACTGCAGTCGCACCTCACGTGTGACATATTGTCGCGAACGTCACAGTGAGAGCAATAATTCTAGCACAAGAGCTTCTAGTTTTTTTCTAAAAAAAAAAATGGCCGGTTTTCTCCCCGTCTATGGCCTTTATAAGTCACCTGAAGCAGAACACCTAAAGCTCAAAAAAGTTTTGAAGCTAATTTTGTAGCTCCAATTAGGCAGATTACTGCATTTTGGTGCATTGTCATTCCCATAAAAATACATGGAAATGCACAAATTGCACGTTTTCATGTGCTTAAGCGTATTTACATATCTCATAAATTGACTGAATATGGGTTTTTAGACATAAAGATAAAGAGGTATTCTCTGTGTAGCTTTAAGAGAAGGAAGTTGAACTGGGCAGAATAATACAAACAATGGAAAAACACTTGAAAACCATGCAAATCTTGATAAATATAGATTTTTTAAAAATAATTTTGAACTAAAAGTAAAATTATAGATATACTATTAGCAATTTTAGCTCATTGATTTAATACACGTTGCTGAGCGTTCATCTTGAACAACATGCTCTTGAACACTAATAATGCACAAATAAAGCCATGCCCATTTTATCTTGACTTTCTGCTAAATTGCTGAAAAATTTCTGGTGGAAAATATGTTATTCCATTTTATAAATTAATATAAAAAAACATTTAGAACACAGTAAACCAGACAAAATAAGCAGGGGAACCTTGGAAGTAGTTATAATATTGACTTCATCTTTTTTGTGACCCTTTTATCTCTCTCTTTTCAGGGCGTAGAGCCTGCGCTGGAGAAAAATTGGCTAGAATGGAGCTTTTCATTTTTTTTGCTAGCTTGCTGCAGAAGTTCACTTTCCATTTTCCTCCTGGAGTCAGCGATTCAGATCTAATGCCAGGAGCTGGATTTACCAATATGCCAAAACAACACAGCATCTGTGCTATTCCCCGCTTTTAGAATAGATGTGCAAAGCATTAAAGAATGGAGATTGTTGATTGGCTTCTGCACATTTATTTAATCTTTGGAATTAAAACATATTAAAAACTGGTACTTCTCTAGATATTTGAATAGTTAGATATTCCTTGATTATTTGTACTTCTCTAGATATTTGAATAGTTAGATATTCTTGTTTATTTGAATAGTTAGATATTCCTACCATAATTCAATACCCACCTTTTTTACACTGCTCAAAAAACTTAAAGGAACACTTTGAAAACACATCAGATCTCAATGGGGAAAAATATCATGCTGGATATCTATACTGATATGGACTGGGTAATGTGTCAGGAATGTAAGGATGCCTCATTGTTTGATGGAAATGAAAATTATCCACCTACAGAGGACTGAATTAAAAGACACCCTGAAAATCAAAGCGAAAAAATAATGCAGCAGGCGAGTCCATTTTGCTGAAATTTCATTGTAGCGACTCAGAATGGTACTCAGTAGTTTGTATGGCCCCCACGTGCTTGTATGTATGCCTGACAACTTCGGGGCATGCTCCTAATGAGACGATGGATGGTGTCCTGGGGTATTTCTTCCCATATCCCGACCAGAACATCACTGAGCTCCTGAACAGTCTGAGGTGCAACCTGGCGGCGTCGGATGGATGGAAACATAATATCCCATAGGTGTTCTATTGGATTTAAGTCAGGTGAATGTGGGGGCCATTTAATGGTATCAATTCCTTCATCCTCCAGGAACTGCCTGCATACTCTCACCACATGAGGCAAGGCATTGTCGTGCACCAGGAGGAACCCAGGACCCACTGCACCAGCATAGGGTGTGACAATGGGTCCAATGATTTCATCCTGATACCTAATGGCAGTCAAGGTGCCATTGTCTAGTCTGTAGAGGTCTGTGCGTCCCTCCATGGATATGCCTCTCCAGACCATCACTGACCCACCACCAAAATGGTCATGCTGAATGATGTTACAGGCAGCATAACGTTCTCCATGGCTTCTCCAGACCCTTTCACATCTGTCACATGTGCTCAGGGTGAACCTGCTCTTATCTGTGAAAAGCTCAGGGTGCCAGTGGAACCTGCCGATTCTGGTGTTCAATGGCAACTGCAAATCAAGCTCTATGGTGCCGGGCAGTGAGCACAGGGCCCACTAGAGGACGTTGGACTCTCAGGCCACCCTCATAAAGTCTGTTTCTTATTGTTTGGTCAGAGACATTCACATCAGTGGCCTGCTGGAGGTCATTTTGTAGGGCTCTGGCAGTGCTAATCCTATTCCTCCTTGCACAAAGGAGCAGATACCGGTCCTGCTGATGTGTTAAGGACCTCCTACAGCCCTGTCCAGCTCTCCTAGAGTAACTACCTGAATCTTGGAATCTTCTACATACTCTCGGGACTGTGTTGGGAGACACAGCAAACCTTCTGGCAATGGCACGTATTGATGTGCCATCCTGGAGGAGTTGGACTGCCTGTGCAACCTCTGTAGGGTCCAGGTATCACTTCATGCTACCAGTAGTGACATTACATCAGGGGCGGACTGACCATTTGGGAACTAGGGCACCATTTGGGAACATGGGGCCCCCTACTGACCCAGAGGGCGCGGGGTCAGTAGAGGGCCCTATGAGATGCCCCTGGTACCTTTTTTCATAGGCTTTTTTGAGTTTAGGAAAGGACACAGGGGCCCCATGATCCCCTACTGCCCGGGGACCCAATGAGTTGTCAGTCCGCCCCTGCATTAAACTACTAAAACTATTCATAATTCATAAAACTACTAAAACTATTCAAAATTCATTATTTTAAAGGGTGCCTTGGGACTTTGCATAATTTAAAAGGGTGCCTTGACTGAAAAAAGGTTGATAAACACTGTTCTGGTTAATTATATGAACTAACAGGTACAAATAAGTATTATAGAAATTATTCTGCAAAACCTGCTTGGCTACTTTGTGCAATAAATGGAATAGAGTTTTGTTTTATGCCCCAGGACATTTAGTGAGCACACAGCTGCTATCACACATAAAAACTATGCCAATCTGCCTTCGCATTTGTGTGTGAATATATACTGTATACTGTATAATACCATGATTTTATGTCTGATGAAGATGTGTTCACAGGATCAGGGAATAGTTGTAAGAAATAAAGATAAAAAGCTTATCTATTAGTTCACTATGGTTTAAAGCTGAACTGCTAAAAGCACAGATGAATTACATATATGAAATAGCTAAACTAAATGTTGTCCAAAATAATGAATTATCCAAATACGAATTGATTTTGAAACAAATTTGAAAACAAAATCGCAGTTGAAAACAAATTTAAACTGTAAACATATTGCTGACTATTGCTAATTTCCTTCCAAAACTGTGTGTAATAGTGTTAGAATACAGCTGTTTTCCGAAATTCAAATTTTGAAAAGAATAGAATAAAACAGAATACAATAGAAAATAAAAGAATAAAATACAATAGATCAGAAAGTAAAAGAAAATAATAGAATAAAATGGAATATAGCTGTCTTACGAAATTTGACTTTTCAAAAAGAATAGATAAGAAAAGAATAAAATAGAATAGAAAATAAAATGATAGAATAGAAAAAAAAAAGAAATAGAATAGCCGTCTTCTGAAATTCAAATTTTGAAATTCTAATTTCCAATTGTATAAATTAAAATAGAATGAATATAGCCATCTTCCGAAATTCAAATTTCAAACAGAACAGAATGAAATACAATATAAAAAGAATAGAACAAAACAGAATAGAATATAAAATAACAGAATAGAAAATAAAATAAAAGAATAAAATAGAATAGGGGAAAATATAGAATAGGATAGCAAACATTTA